CCACCAGTAAATTCCACAGTAGATACTTTGACAAAGCTGTGGGCATTAAATAGACTCTAGTTATCCCCTCACAAACTATTAATTACAAAGGAGAAAAGTGACTTTACAGTGACCCAGATTACTATAGGTCACTGGATATGATAAATGAAAGTCTCATTCTTGAGGCATTCCTGTGGACAATGCAATCATGAAGATACATGAGACAAACCCAAATCAACAGAAACTCTCAGCCCTCCATCTATGGGTTCCACATTTGCAGATTGTTATTATTCCCTCAGTAAGTAACTAGGTCATGTGTTAATGCTAGGAGATTTCGTTGTGTGAAAACTGTTGAGAATACTTTAAAACTACGACAGTTACATCACTAGGTGATACTATCTTCTGGACCAGTGAGATATGTGCGGCACATGGTTGACTGAAATGTGCAATGCACAACTGTAGCAGCACGGTATTTACAATCTAGAGAGGATTTAAAGCACACAAGAGGATGTGTGTATGTATGAAAATACTATGACATTTGAGCTGGACATGGTGGCATAGGCCTGAAATCCCAAAGATGTAGGACTGTCAAGTTTAAGGTCAGCCTCAATAACATGGCAAGACCCTTAGCAACTTAGCAAGACCCTCTCAAAATAATAAAGAGAACTGGGAATGTAGCTCAGTGGTAGAGTGCCCTTGGATTCAATCCAAAGAACCAAAAAAAAAAAAAAAAAAAAAGACACAATCCCCCCCACACCCCCTCGCACACACAGAAACCCCCCAAACCACCAAAAAACACACAAAAATATGCCATCTGGGGTTTTGAAATCTGAGGCAGTATCCTGAAACCAATTCTCCAAATACTTGCATTTCATTATATGTACGACATACCATCACAACCATGACCCACACTCCCAGCCTCACACCTCCATGGGTACATATATACCTCACAGAGGCCACCACACCAGGCTAGGTGCTACTCTCTCACTCTTCACTCTCTAGGGTGCCAGTGGTGGGCCATCCCTCTGGATCCTTTTATTGTTTCTCTTAAGCAAGGAAAGCCTGATCCCAGCATCCTGTCCTCATGGGTTGCTCTTGGCCCCTGCCTGGATGTCTGGCCATGTGTTCTGCTCCAAACTGTCAGAATTTATTCCAGGACCCCAACAGTAACAGTTCCAACAGATGACCTGCTATTACTTGGGCAGACTTCCATGGGCATATCCTAGCCCCAGAGGATACTAAAAGACAATAATATTTTTGGGTAAAGGAACACAATGTTTTCTACTTCCAGATGCCTCAATAAGAAAATCATGTAAATAAAAAATGAAGCTAACGCAGGAAGACCCCAAACTTGAGGTCAGCCTGGCACTAAGACTATCTCAAAATAAAAAATTAAAAAGGGTGGGCTGTACTGCAGTGATACAGTGCCTCTAGGTTCAACTCCTGGCACAACCAGGGCTGCTCTACCACTGGAGCTACATCACCGCACCTTCCTTTGACAGGATCCCCAGTTGATGCTGGCCTTGAACTTAATTGTCCTATCTTACTAGGATTATAGGTATACACCATTACACCTGGCCAAACTTTTTTCAGCCTTCTTTAACCTACTTTTGCTTGGTATTGGGGACGGAACCCAGGGGTGCCCTACCTGTGCAACATTCCCAGCCCTTTTTAAAATTTTTTTAATTTTTTTTTATTTTTGAGAGGATCTTAGTAAGTCAGAGGCTGGCTTTTAATTTGTCATCTCCCTGTCTCAGTCTCCCAAGTTGCTAAGATTAAAGGCATGGACCACAGTCCCTGTTTAACTGGACTTTTAAGGAGAGCTTTTAATAGAGGAATTGAAGATGATATAGGCACTGAACTTTTAGAGTTGTTAGGAACTGAAATCAAGATTTAAAATGCTGCCTTTACTTAACCTTGTTGTACCGTATACTCTTAAAAATACCTCTACAATAGGAGTAAAAATATGTAAGTAATTGAACATACACAATAGAGCTTCTTAATGTAACCTTTAATATTAAATAGCATTTTGACTTTTGTAAACTAAAACAAGCTGTGATAAATCTAGGGGAATGTGAATTCTTCTAGATATGCATTAAGCATCTTCAGGAGGTGTAAGAACTAGTGATCCTAATCTTCAAGCAGTCAATAGTGGACTTCACCTTTTTTCTTTTGATTTTAGAACCATTAACTCCTTTCTATTGAAAAATAATTAACCCCTTTAATAAGTGTTGGTCTGGGAGTGCTGTTTTTGGGACTAACCGCATTTGTACAACTGTCTCAACTTGTTCTTTTAGCAAATTGAAGCACACATTGTTAGGGATATTAAACACACACCTTTATCCAAGATGTGGTCACTGATAGAAAGACTATTAATGATAGTGCTGTTTCATGACCTGTTCAAAATAGTTTAAAAATACATGTTATTAGAGCCCCCCCCCCCCCAAAAAAAAATACACTTAGTGGAAACTCTTGGCTCTGAAAAATACATTCATCAGTATATTAGTTAACTATTCAGAGAACATTAGATGTCTTATACAAAAACAAGTTGCCTATTACCACTTATGGTATGAATAAACTATTGTTAAAAACAAAGGACACATGTGGCCACAGAAGTCTGAACTGACACTGTTAACAGTGACTAAATGGACTGGGGAATCAAACCTAGGGCCTCACATGTGCTAGACTGCAAATACTGTCCATATATCTTTTATATAAAAGAATTTAAGAAAATGAAACATTCCATAACAGGATCCATTGCTACATATCTGAAACTGAATATAATCACAGCAAGTTGAATTGGAGAAGAGTTCTAAAACCAAGGTTAAGCAATGGAAACATAGTATTGCAGCATAAATTGCCGAAGTTTAGTGTGTCAAGTCCAGAATTAAGGAAATTAGGTTAAAAATTTAGGAAATTATTGAAGTTTCTTAGTTTGATTATTTGAGAAGTTGCTGGAAAATGTTCAAACCACTAAGATAAAAATGAGTGAATTTTATGTGAGAACAAAGTCAAAAATAAAAAAGGATAGCAAGTTACATTTATTGTGGTACTAAGTATTTTCATACATTATGTTTTCATCTTCCCACTCCATAAAGTTTTATCCCTGGATGACATTCTCAAATGGTTTCAGAAGAACTGAAACAATTCTTTTTCTTATCCAGGAATGGCTAGTGAGTGCCAACTCCAATGCAAAATCTCACTCATCAAGAATTTGGTGTTAAGTGGTAATACACAATAAATTCCAAACAAGTTTTTCCCTCAGTAAGCATTTTATTGAGTTAACATAAAATACGTTAACAAAATGGAAAAAGATACCAAGATGAAAGGTGGTAACACAGGAAGAGTGGGAACATAAAAGCTGGAGTAGGTAGGACTCAAACTGGCCATGAAGGCACTAATGGCATATCAAGAAACACTATCAAAAAAGAAAGGGGACTCAAGATGTTCCTCATTCTTTTTTGCCATCAGGTCAATACTCCATCTAGCCACTGGTAATTGTGCAGCACACTGCTGCTGCTCAGATCTTGCTCACTGGGAAGCAGGAACTAAATGTTTTACACTAGTCAACTCTGTATTCTGAAATAGGCCAACTTTGTATTCAATGACTTGGATCTATAGATATATAATTAGATTTTTTTAATAAATTGGTCTTTGCCATTACTAGAAAGATTTTATGGGTGTAGGCATTTACCGATACAATTACCCATTTACTGGGGCAGCTTAACAATGTCGTCAAATATGCCTCTTACCATATGATGTCACAATAACAACAGAAAGCCCAGCTGAAGATGTTGCATACTTTTAGAAAGCCAAAATTCACTATAATATCGTTCCCCCCCTCCTTTTAAAAGGCTGTGGTTCAAAAGCTTTTATGTTCTTTCCCTGGAAACAAGAGAACTTTGGTCAAAGCCAATTCGTAAGAATCATTACTTCTGTTCTTTGAATAGGCAAAATAATGAACTATAATTAGACACCATTTCCTTCTCTTAAATTCTGAAGTTTATATTTAAAAATAAAACCATTTCTTATAAACATTTAAACAAACAAACTATCAAGAAAAGATATTGGAAGCAGCATCAACCTTATGGGCCACTATATTTCCAAAGTTAGGATTTTAAACAGGAAGTCTAAATTCCTTACAGATGAAGATTTTTTCTTATTACCAAGTACTCTTAGCTATTCTGACACCTAGATCCTCGACTCAATTTTTCCCTCAGCCTCATTTTAGTAAATGTCCTCTGGGTTTTTAATTCTTCAAACCAATCCCAGAATATCATGCTCAGTCACAATCCTGGTACCTTTACACAGTGACAGCTCCCTAAGAAGGTATTAAACCTGAGTCAATTCATCTACATCTTGACTTAAGTGGATGTTAATAAGTACTTTTAAAATGAAATTACATAAAAGTATCCGAACAAAGGGATGTAAGATAACTCACTTTTGACCTGCAATCTCAACTTATTAGCCTTATGAATGTATGGACTAATTGGTAACCCAGTACAAATTTGCAATATTACAGTCTGGTTTACGCAGTACTGTACTTCATTCATAATAAAGTACTATTAGTTTTTGAGTTTGCCCATTTTTCAAACCAACCACAGAGAAGTATAAAAATTTACAAGAATGAACCAACCAATTACCACATAATAACCCCAACAAAACTACAAAGGGGACTGACAGCTGGAATTTTATTTGCCAACAATCTGTTAAGCAACTGACCTTATCAAAAGATCTGCTAAGTACCTGTTAAATGTTATCTTTCCGCAGAAAATGCAGTATATGCCTATCCACTTTGAACGATACACTAAACTTCTATTCAGATAAAGGCTACTTCCATTTTTACATAACATTAAAGACCACTGAACCATACTCTTAACTACACTAATCTCATTAACCACCTCCAGAGCATGGGATCACTAACTAAAAGATCCCAAGCCCTAAGAGCTATTTCCTAAATAATCCAGTCAAATCATAAGTTCAAAAACAGTCTATTTAAAAACTCATTAATTCAGGCAAAATTGTGTTATAGATTGACTACAAAATATCTTTTTATTTTTAACCCAACTTGTTAGAGGGGCAGATAAAGACTTTGGCAAATTTGATTAACAGCACAAAATAATGTTATCCAAACTGAATAATTTATTGCTGGTCTGAGGCTTGCCTTGTTTTACACTTTAGTAGAATTTACACTGTTTCCACAAATAGCAGATATCAACATTAAAGGAATTTGATAGTGACCTATTCAATAAGGCAATCATCTTGGTAGCAAACTTTTATTTAAATCTTACATAACTCAAGCTTTATAAAAAGCCAACATAATTGAAAATTGGATTCTCCCTCTAAAGCCTTAAGTATCCAAAGCTTGAAACGGTTAATTTAAAAATAAGCAAACAAATGAAACAACAAAAAAAAAACCCTGCAGCAGATCCTGCTGAAAATACTTAAAAAAAAAATCTAAATGAGCTTAATCTTTACAAAAGTTATTTTAGCTCAAAAGCTATAAAATCAAAGTTATCTTAATTCTACAAAGAAGGGAGAGGGTCTTTGACTTCATGCCACCATTTTAGAACCTCATCTTTTTCATCAAATTTGGCCACAAATCAAATTTTTGTGTGCTCCTGCTCTCAGGAGATTCCTCTTGCAGAAGAGGCCAAGTATAAACATGGAAGAGTAACTGCCTAAGCAAGTAGGAAAGTGTTCCATAATAGTGTGCAAAGAATGTAGAGTTCTGGGTTAATCTCTGGAACTTGATCTGGACCTTGACCTTGAGCGAGATCTAGAACGGGATCTTGAAGTAGCTCTTTTTGGTGGAGGGGACACAGAACGAGCCTTTGAGGGTGGAACAGGAAGGGGTGAATTGGAACGAGACTGGCTCCTTGATCTGGATTTTGACTTTATATCACCTTTTCCATTTTCTTTGGGGGACCGAGATCGAGACCTGCTTCGGGACTTTTCATACTCATCCTTAGATCTGCTTCGAGAATGTGAATGGGAACCCCGATCAGACTTGGGCTTAGATTTGCTTTTTGATCTAGATTTCCTGCCTTTTGATCGAGAACGTGATCGACCTTTGCTCCGTGACCTGGATCTGGACAAGAAAAGGCAGATTTTTTTTCAGTTATTGGGTCAGAACATACACATACTCCATGAAGAAGTCTAATTATATTTAGGGGGGAAAAAATCCTAATACCACAGTATTTACCGGGAGCGACTTTTTGAGACACTTCGAGATCTACTGCGGCTGCTCCTGCGACTCCTACTTCGTGACCTCCTTCTTGAACGTGACCTGTAAAACACAACAATGGATATTAATCTCAAGGATATTTGTGCCACTCAGCAGAAGCAACAATAGAGTGCTTACTATAAAATTAACCTCATTAACAAAACATCTAGAAAAGAACAAGGAGACACAACCAAATGAAACCTATCTTAAGTTCAATTAAGCAACAACTGAAAATGACTCAAGTACCCCTTTTCCAGCCCACTACATGTCTTTCAAATTACCTAGATCTGCTTCCAGAATAAGACCTCCTATGGCTTGCTCGTGGCTTATCTTCAATAAGTCTAATATTCCTGCCATTTATCTCTGTACCATCCAGTTTATCCAAAGCACGCTTCATGTCAGAGTAGGAGCGAAATTCAATTACACCTTCATTTGTACGTTCTTTGTGAGCATCTGCATATGTTACTTCACCTGCTTGCCGCATGAAATCCTGAAACAATAAGACTTATCAGACTCACAAGCTGGGCATGCTGGTTTTAGTTCTCAGAAAAAAAGGTACCAAAAGGGCCTACCTTTTAAGAATTAATCAAATCTCAACTCAAATTATAAGACATACCTTTAAATCTTGCCAACTGCAACGACTAGAAAGATTTTCTACAATAAGCCTGTACTCTGTACGAACAGGAGGTCCATATTTGTCTCTGCCAGAGGTTCTCCGACTGCTGTATCCACCTCCACCACCTTTATCACATGAAGGGAACAATTAGTTGCTTTGCAATGATAGGGATGCATAATGTTTTTGAAAGTTAGTACAAACATATCAACTTTTATTTACTGGAGTAGGACTTTGCTATTATACTGCTAAACCTTCGATACATTTGTGATTTGCCATAAATTAAATTAAGGGCAAGTCAAATAGACTAAATCCAACTAAACCTCTCCTACAATCTGTTAGAGAGTGACTGCTCCTTTATTCAATTTACCTCGCTAAGTTTTATTTTACAGAACATTGTAAAATATAAAACTTAACTGATTACATGCATTTCTACAGTTTACAAAAATTTTTACTAGTTACACTAAGTACTTACATCACAGTGTGAGGTTTTTGGTGGTGGTTTGGCCACAAAACACGCAAGGTAACAGTCACCTAGTTCAGATTAACCAGTTTTGTCTAACCCTTGGAATCCTCACCATCACCCTGCGTCTAATGGCAAAAGGCTGCTGTCGTCATGGCTTCCGGTAAGGTCAGCCAAAGGGTCATAGGGCAAGGGTCACACAATGTATGGAAAAGCCAAGGCCAATCAGGAAAGGCAGTCATCTTAGCCTCAGTGGACACAGCCTCAGCCCCATTGGTCACTTTCAAATTGAAACATCAAGGACTTGTTAAAAAGTTTGAATTCAACATGCAACAATTTCAACATCAAACATTTAACATAACCAAAAATCCCCCCAACCTCCTCCCAATAACATGCCCCAAATAGTTTAAGTACAGCATAAAGCTTATTTAGATTTACTCTGTGGTACAATACCACAATACTTTAAAATAGTATTTTCTTTGCCCCCCACCAACTTTACTAACTCTTCAGATCTACACCTCAAGCTCCTCCCCTTTCCCCACCCCCTACCCCACCTCCACCCCAGCCTGTCCCCAAACTTCCACATTTCTATCTAATGCACTGACTATTAAGCAAGGGGCATACGAGAAATACAGTCATCCCTTGCTTCCAAAGTGGGCAGAACCCACGATAGTGTCAAGGAGGGCCCAGCAGAAGCCACCCCCCTCCCAACTTGGCCAAAACCGAATACCCAGACCCAATCCCCGCGCTCCGGTGTCCCATGGTTGCCCCGGGCAGGGGTGGAGGCAGCGGGGCCCAGGGACAGCGGGGTCAAACGACTCCCGGCCCCCGCACCTGCCCGGGCTGGGAGGTCCCACCCCGCCCACCCTAGTGCCTGCGCCCGCCCCCCAGGTCCCAAAGGCGCGGAGCGCGCGGGGGCGGGACTCACTGCGGCTTCCGTAGCTGTAGCCGTCGCGATCGCGACGCGGGCCCCGGGCGTGCTCCACGATCACGCGCTCACCGCAGAGCTCCTTGCCGTTCAGCTCGTAAACGGCGTCGTCGGCGTCGCGGGAGTCCTCGAACTCCACGAAGCCGTACCTGAGTGGGGGGGGCGCGGGCCAAGCACCGGCGGGGTCGTCGTTAGCCGGTGTCGCGCACGTGCGCGCACCCGCGATCCCCGCGCGCACCCGCGGCGCCGCGCCGCCGCCATCTTGGAGGCTCTGCCACGCGGCGCCGCGGCCTTGGCCGCCTTCTCTCTCGGACAGCCCCAGCCGCCACTAGGCCCAGGGCGTTGGGCACGAACGCGGGCGCCCAGGCCCGACTCACCCATTTTTGAGGTCTACTTCGAGGAGGCGGCCATAGCCGCTGAAAAAGCGCTGGATGTCCTTCTCCCGGACGTTGTAGCTCAGGCGTCCTATGTAGACGCGAGGCATGTCCGTGGTGGGCGAGGTCCCGAAGGCTGGCTGTCGGACGGCGGACAGCAAGGCAGTAGCCGCGGTGCGGGTGCGGGGACGGCGAGGGCCCGAACACGCGCCTCACACCGCAGCGGCGGCCGAGTCCAGCCACACAATGGTGTGCGTGCGTGCCAGAGCTACGCTATATGGGCGGCTGGGGGCGGGGCCGGCGCGTGACGTCAGTGCGCACCACGCACCCTCCCGCGTTGAGCCCCGGACTCGGGAGTGACTTGCGGGTACCCTGCATGCGACGTGTCCGTGGAGTGTGACCTTGCTTTCAAGTTTTTCTCCAGTACTCCCACCCGGCTCTGTAAACATATCCTGTGGTCTAGCCGCGTACTTGTCTTCTCATTTGCGCTTTTTAATAAGCTTCCCCTCTGTATTCTCGACCACGAGAACCTTCCATTTTTATTGGCTCTGGAGGTTGTCATAATAAGTCACTCTGGTCTCTGATTGGTCGGTTAAAACGAGGCTGCGCATTTCCTCCACCGATTGGTTCACGCCCACTTGGCTGGGGGTAGTGGTCTCGCACACAGTTGGCTCGCCAGCTTCGTTGAGTCGGTAGCTTGTGCTTCGTCTCGGAGTCGTGTTGCGAGCGCTCTGCCCTTCCAAGTTCAGTCCCTTGGGGACTTCACGGCCTTCATCAGCTTCCCACGCCTTCCTGCACCTGTCCCTCCATGGCTTTTCTTTGGAGTACCGGCGGCGTGTAGATTGGAGTGTACATTGGAATCTGGCACTCGCAGCAGTGGCTCACAAAGGGAGCATGACCAAGGACCCTGGCACTAAAGGACTGTCCCACAGCAATGAGCTCTTTCTCCTATCTGGAGAGTCTGTGGAACCAAATATAAATTTTGGTTTGGAAGGCATTTTATTGATGGCAGAAATAAACATTTGTGAGTTTATCAATAGAGATGCCATTTAAAACTGCAGAGCTAGATAAGCACAAAGTAGTTTTCCGGTAGAGAGCAGAAGTCCCGTGACTATACCCTGGAGTACTAGGAAGGGAGACTCGAAAAGGAGTGACTGCAAATCACACACACACACACACACAAAAAAAAAAAAAACCCAGGAGAGTACAATGTCACTGAAGCTAAAAGAAAAATAGGCTATCGCTGAGATAATACAGGTCTTAGGTATTTCTGCATCCCCGCTCTTTTTGAGTCATGCAGTCTCAATATTCTTCAGCCTCTAGTTGAAAATGGGCGAATTTGTCGGCAGGGGACATCTGGCAGAGTCTGGAAGCATTGTTGGTTGTCATTGTTGGGGGAGGCAAGTTAATACAGTCATCTGGCCTGGTGGGGAACACCTGTAATCTCAACAATTTGGAGACTAAAGCAGGAGGTTTGCAAGTTCAAGGAAGCCAGAGCAATGTAGGGACACCTTGTCTCAAAATAAAAAGGGCTACAAATTTAGCTCAGTGAGAAAGCACCCCTAGGTTCAATCCTATTACTGTTAAAATAAAAAAGCTTAACAACAACAAACCCTGCCACCAGTCTGGTGGGTAGAGGTCAACCTTAAAATTAAATAAATAAGAAATATAGATTTAAAGCAAATTTTAAATACTTATAGAGTATAATTAGGGAGATGAGACTTCAACAATTTTAGGGGCTGGGGATGTGGCTCAAGCGGTAGCGGGCTCGCCTGGCATGCGTGCGGCCCGGGTTCGATCCTCAGCACCACATACAAAGATGTTGTGTCCGCCGAGAATTAAAAAATAGATATTAAAAAACTCTCTCTCTCTCTCTCCCACTCTTTCTTTAAAAAAAAAAAAAAAAACGATTTTATAATATTTTTGTACTCATCAAATTGTCAACATTTAAAAATTTGTGAAAATTAATTATTTGCAAGAGGTAAACTGGAAAACTACCCTCATAGTGCTAGTGGGGCTGAACATTAATTATTTTAACTTTTTTTTTTAATGGTACTTGGGATTGAAGGGGGGGAGGAGGCGCTTTAACACTGAGCTACATCATACATCTCCAGTCCTTCCTTTCTTTCTTTTCTTTTTCTTTTTTTTTTGGTGCTGGGGATAGAACACAGGGCCTTTGTGCTTGCAAGGCAAGCATTCTACCAACTGAAGTATATCCTCAGCCCCTCCAGTCCTTTCTATACATCTATTTAATGTTTTGTGTTGCAGAGTCTTGCTAGATTGCTGAGGTTGACTTTGAATTTGTGATCCTTGGATCATCTGCCTCTCAGCCTCCTGCATCCCTGGGATTGTGGTCATACACCACCACCTAGCTGAACATTCCTTTTGAAAAGGAACTGGAATAGGACTTCTTAAAGAATACATGTGGAAAGTAGGTATTGCTGCCTCTCACCTTGCGCATTTGCCCTAAAAGAAGGATGACCCCCACAAATATCCTCTTTTTACCTCTCCTTCCCAGAGTTGAATAGTTACTCTGAACAAAAACAAAACAAACAAGCAAACAAAAAAACCCCACACAATGCTGAAGTCTGGCTGGGAACAATTCAGGAGCCACTTATCAAGCAGAAACCAATTTTATTTTTAGAACACACACACCATACCTGCAAGCTCTTCAGGAATTCCCTCAGAGCCCAACTGCCATCACCGGCTTCCCACGAGCCTCTCAAAACCCCCACTCCTCCGGCTCTTGAGGCTGATTGGCTGGGTCCCGTGGGCGGAACCAAAAGAGTCCCCCAATGAGCAGCTCCGACGTCTGAAAGGGCGGGGAAACAGCCCAATGAGCATCACCCCAGAGGAGCCAATCAGCTGGCAGCTGGAAGTTTGCCGGGGCCATGGTGAGCCAGTCAGCTGGAAGTTTGCTGAGGCCCCTTTGGCTGTGGCTCTCAATAACACAACACCAAAAAACTCATTAGCAATAAAAAAGGACCTCATCATTAAGCGAGTGGTAGACCATCAACATTCTGTGGAGTCCTGCTGATAATCTAACTGTTGATAATTTTGAAGAACAAATCAAGGAGGTGTGATTGCAACACAGGAGCTTATTTCTTTAAATATCTACAATTGCAGTTGATAAAGAGCATTCCATCACTGCTCATTTTAAAAACATGCAGGTAACTGCTGGAATCTGTCAGGATTAATCTGATGAGATTAATGACGTGTTAATCTCATCTCATCCCAAAGACTATTATTCACCTCAAATTCCTAATGACCCAGATTGTAAAAGATAGTCTCAGGTCCATAATGATTGTGGGTTTCAATCCAGTGTGTACTCTTTCTTACACAAGTTAGCTGGAAGCCAAAGAGATTTTCAAATCACCTTGTTTTCTGAAATGGGTGTAAACTGTATTCTGAATGATTCTACTTTCTTACGTCTGAGAAAAATCTAGCATCCCAGCAGCTGTCATCATGAATGGATCTTGGGAGATCATGGCATCTGAGAAGACTAACTTTAGGTGTCAACCTGACTGAATTAAGGGATACCTAGATCACTGGTAAAGCACTATTTGGGTGTGTCTGTGAGAGTGTTTCTACAAGAAATGGACATTGGAATCAGTGGATTGAATAAGGAAGATTCGCTCTCACCCAGTTTCGGTGAAGCCAGATTTAAAGTTAGGTAGTCAGTGTAGTTAGGTAAATCGGGTCTAATACCGAGTGAAATCTAAAATGGAGGCCATGCTGACAATGATTCCCGGAAACGCAGGACAACTCATGGAATGGAAAGGCCCTAGGCCAAAGTCCACCCCAAAGAAATGTTAATGGAACCCAGGGAACAGCCCCAGCAGATTTGAAGATAGCCTATCCCAGAGAAGTGTTAATGAAGTCCTTCCTGCCCAGATTACCTGTGTCCCAACCCTTCCCCCTTACATTCCATCACCAAAACTATAAAAAGGTGAAACAACCACACTGTCACGGACTCCACCTCTTGGGTCCCCTTCTTCCTCTGGGAGAAGTCTTTTCTGCTGTCCTTTAATAAACTTCTAATTTCTACTCTGACATTGCCTCAGTGTGCTTCTCTAGTGTTATACTTCAACATTGGGGAAGCAAGGTCTCGTCATCGGTCAACAGCGGTAACATTGGCAGGTACCATTCAATTGGCCGAAGGTCTGGATAGAACAAAATACAAGAAAGGTGAATTTGCTCTTTCTCTTGCAGCTGGGACAACCCTCTTTCTCTGCCCTTGAGTATTAGGACTTTGTGGTTTTGGACTCTCGGGCTTACACCAGTGATCTCTCCCATTCTCAGGCCAGTGTCCTTAGACTGAGTCACACCATTGGCTTCCCTGGTTCAGAGGCCTTCCCCTAATAAGTTGTGAAAGAGATACCCAGCCTGCAAAAGCCTGAAATATTGACTAGCTGGCTTTGTGTGTGTGTGTGTGTGTGTGTGTGTGTGTGCGCACGCGCGCTACTAGATATTGAATCCAGGGTTGCTCTACCACTGAGACACATCCCCATCCCTTCTTATTTTTCATGTTGAGATGGTCTCAGTTTGTTCCTGAGGCTGGCCTTGAACTTGCAATCCTCCTACCTCAGCCTCCCAAGCTGCTGGTATTATAGGTGTGTGCCCAGGAAGAAATCTGTTTTAATATATTCAAGAACCCATTTTTGTATAAAACAAACACCTCAAATCTTAAAAACCCCAACTACTTACTTATCTATTTATTGTGCTGGGGATTGAACCCAGGGCCTAGGGGTGCTAATCATGGGCTCTGCCACTAAGCTGCATCTCCAGCTCCAACCCTTTCTGTGACTGTCTTTGTGGGCTGGCTTTGGGGTTGATTTTGAACAGCAGTGGGGGCAGGTCCCACACAGCCACATCCCCTGATTCTCTCACTGCCTTCCTACCCCTCTTCCTCCCACTAGCTTCTTCCTTGAAAGTATGCCCTCCCTCCCCCCAGGGCCTTTTTGCTGAACAATTAACTGTTTCTGGAACTTTATTTCTCTATGGTTCGTTCCCTCACTTCCTTCTGGTTTCTGTGCAAAGGTTTCACAGGGCCTCATCTAACCATTCATATAAAATAGTATCTCTCCTCTGCATCCTCTTGCCCCGTGCTATTTTTTTCTTGTAGAACTTTTTATCCCTCGACATGTATGTATTTACTCTGTCCCCCACCCTGCAGGACATTGGCTTCAATAGAGCAGAGATGTTGTCTTGTCTTTTCTCTTCTTTATCCCTGACACTTAGAAAAGCTCCAGACACACATGAGGCCACGTGGGAGTGTCCCTTCATTCTGA